TCATTCCCCCTCCTAGGAGTAGGTTCCCCCCTTGAGGGCGCACCATGAGGCCGGCCGACCCCCTCCTCCCCTCCTTTATATACGGGGGAGGCGGGCACCCCATAGACACACAAGTTGATTCTTAGCCGTGTGCGGTGCCTCCCTCCACATATTTCCACCTCGGTCATATCGTTGTAGTGCATAGGCGAAGCCCTGCGTCAGTAACTTCATCATCATCGTCACCACGCCGTCGTGCTGACGAAACTCTCCCTCGGCCTCAGCCGGATCAAGAGTTCGAGGGACATCACCGAGTTGAACGTGTGCAGATCGCGGAGGTGCCGTGCGTTCGGTACTTGATTGGTTGGATCACGAAGACGTTCGACTACATCAACCGCGTTACTAAACACTTCCGCTTTCGGTCTACGAGGGTACGTGGACACACTCTCCCGCTCGTTGCTATGCATCACCAAGATAGATCTTGTGTGTTCGTAGGAAATTTTTGAAATTACTGTGTTCCTCAACAATAACAAACACCCTGCTCAATTTGTTCGAACAAATACGCACGAGTCGCAGTGGCTGGAGCTGTCCGCCTCGATCAACGTAGTGTACATTATTTATACTTCCAAAATACTCTAAATATACGTGAAACATTTGAAAATAATAATAATCAAGCATTTGAAAAAGGTAAATGTGTATATAATATCATATATACAATGTGTATGAAAAATGTTAATCATGTATATGAAAATTTAATCAAGTATTTGAAAAATGGTAATCAAGATTTTAAAAATGTTAAATGTGTATAGAAAAAATGTTTTTTGTGTATACAGAAGTTGTATGTGTATATAGAATTTTTGATCATGTATTTATAAAGTGTTAAACTTGTATAGAAAAAACATTCTTCATGTAGCTAGAAAATGTTAAACATGTATAAAAAAATTAACCATGTGTTGGAAATTTTTAAATGGCAATCAACATTTTTTTCACACACAATATATATTTTTTGTATACAACAGAAACAATTTAATATACATGTTTAATATTTTTTAAATAGCTAATTATATTTTCCTATATATATGTTTTTAATGTTTACTTTTACTTAATGAGTCCTACATTTTTATACATGGTCAACACTTTTATATACGCGTTGACACTTTAAAAATATATTAACAATATTTCTCATACATACAAACCAAAAAAGAAACAAAGGAAATCAAAAGTAATAAAGAAAAAATCAAAGAAACCTACTGCAAAAAGAATGAAAATGAGTGAATCCGACAAAGAAAATGAAGAAAATCGATGAAAAATACAAAAGAAAAACCAAAGAAAAATAGAGAAAGAAAAGAACAAGAAAAATAAAGAAAAGTAAACACGAATGAGAAACAGATAAAGAAAACCTGAGAAAACCATAAAAACTATAGAAAACCAAAGAAGAAACAAAAAACTAAAGGAGAAACGAAAAGAAATGAAAAAAAAATCCCATTCGAAGCAGGCGAAAAAAAGATAGATAGGGCAGCCGAGAGAAGAAGTCCTTGAGGCAAGAGAAGCTAAGGACTCGCCACGAATGCTATCTCTCGCATTAAGCGAGCCCACAGGAACTCTCACCGCAAGCTTCAACAATAACAGGCCGGCCCACTTCAAAAGAAAATAGAGAAAAAGGAGCGACTTGAGGGCGAGGCTACTGCCGGGATTCTCGTCAATAGTAGGGCGAGTTGTAGTTGAGGCGAAACGAACACGGGTTTCTTTTTGTTTTTGTATTTTTCTCTTTTCTTCCAAGATGTTTCTTTTCTTTTTTCTTTTTCCTTTTTTAATCTTTTCATTTTATTTTCGTGTTTTTATTTATTTTGTTTCTTGGTTTTCTTCTCCATTTTTGTTTTTTCCTTTTTATTTTTTTTATGTTTGTTTTCGTTTTCACTCAACATTTTTGTATATTTTAAAAACATTTTTTAATAAGTGATCAACATTTTTTTGTACACTTTCAACATTGTCTGAACGCTTATTAAACATTTTCACATATTTTTTTTCAACATTTTTTTACTTATTCTACATTTTCAAATACTTTTCCAACATTTTTCATATACTCTTTCAACATTTTTAATACTTACTCAACATTTTTCAAATACTTGTTCACCATTTTACAAATACTCATTCAACATTTTTTGAATATTTATTAAACATTTTAAAATACCTTTTCAACATTTTTAATACTTTTTAAACATTTTTTAAAGGGAAAAAATTGTTTTTGCCACTCTAGCTTTTGCCAATTTTGCTTATGCCACTCTAGAATTTGACATCTCACTTTTGCCACTCTTAACTTTTGGCAATACATCACAAATGTCATTCCATGGTTAAAACGATAAATTTTCATTTCACTTTTGCCACTCTTAACTTTTGACAATGCATCACAATTGCCACTTTGAAAATTTTGCTTTTGTCACGGAATGGCAAAAGTGATATATGGTCAAAAGCTAACAGTGGCAAGAGCAAAATGTCAAATTTTAGAGTGGCATAAGTAAAGTGGGCAAAAACTAGAGTGGCAAAAACAAAAATTTTTTTTTTTAAATAATCATTAAACATTTTTTAATACTTATTCATCATTTTTTCAAATACTTGTTCAAGATTTTTCAAATATGTATATATACACACACACACACACACATGTAGAATATTTTAAAGTATAAAAAGTACAAAAGTAAAAAACAAGAACAGAAAACAAAAATAATTTTTTTAAAAAAACAGGCCATGGCCTCCCGCGCGGCTTGGTCGGCCCATCTGGGCTCCCCCGACGCGAGGCTTCCCCCTGTCTCGCTAAAGCGAGAAATAGGGGCGCCCAGGACTCGCGCCATGCGAGATATAGGCCTAGTTTTTTTTTGAGGGAAGGTCATCATGGCTAGCTTTATTAACTTAGATAGGAATTACATCATCCAGAAGTTTTGAGACTAGACATCCCGGCGGTTCATCCGTCCAGGTACTAGAAGTCTTATTACAAAAACTATAATTGGCTAACACATGAGCCGCTTGATTTGAACTACGAAAGCAATGCTTAAATTTGACCTTCCCAATTAAAACTGAAACATCCACACATTCAGCAAAAATTGCAGCAGCTTCATCCCACCATCTTGATTGCCCCTCACATGCTTCAATTACGATCAATGAATCTGATTCCAGAATCAGCTTATGAGAAACTTCTCACAGAATCAGCCGTTGAGTTCTTTTCTGAAATTGTGGTATAAGATTATGGGATGGGCTATATGCTAAAATGTCCATAATGTTCCTGAACTGAAACTGGATGCTGAATTGCTACCACTTGAAACAAGACGAACATGTACAGAGAAGAACTACGTAGTAACCATGGCATCCATTCATCGGTCCATCCATCCATGTACAGAGTAGAACAGAGAAGACAGAGAGGAGATGAGACAGGGAGGAGAGGAGAGCTCAGCTGAGGCAACGACCTGAGCGAACTCTGGCGAGGCGGCGTTGGGCGTCGAGGCCAGCGCCCGGGCGGAGCAGCAGCTGCGAGCCTCGGGGCAGAGCAGCGGCTTCAGGCGTCGTCTCCGTGGCCGGCGTCTAGCGGGCGGGGGCGGCGGCCCTGTAACCCTAGCGCGAGCGCTAGCGGAGAGGTGGGGGATCGAGCGATGGAGAGATGAGTCGTGCGACTCGTTTCCTGGACGCGGCTGTCCACCAGTGGCAGTTTCCTCGTAATTTCCAGCCCAAATAGGGGTATACTACCCTAAATCGAAGTGTTTTGTTTTGCGGGAGCGACTAGAATCGTGAGAAGCAAGGTTCCCAGAGGATTATCGATTGCACTACCGATTGTGGCGATCCTCGCATGATTTAAGACAATTGAATCGAGTTCATTTGAGCTTTTGATTTTCCAGACCAAGATTGTCCAAAATCGAGGAAAAGAACTGGGCCATAGAGTATGCAGTTAGTTTTTTTTTTCTTTTTTTAGGGGAGGGTACGCGGTTAGTGCTGTCCTTCAAGCGCAGCCGGGCTTCAGGCTTTTCAAACGGGCCGGACTTGGGCTTAAAAATTGGAAAATTTACTGGGCCTTTTTGGGCTCGGGTTTCAGGCCTGAAACCCAACGCGGCCCGAGAGATGATCAGCTTGCTAGAGATGCCCAAGTGGTCCTCTCCTTCCCCTCCTCCTC